CGTATAAAAAGTTTAATACCTTATGGCGAAATTCTGTGTCAGAACGCTCCTCAGATTTTTTCTGCACCTTCTTTTACAACGTTTCTCTGAACCTTATATTGATATAATCTTTCTATTTGTTATTCAAATTATATAAACTGTTGCTATTCTTTTTATCAAATGTCATAAATAAATGCGACAGTGTTGCTACTGTACGATTGTAGTATTAGAGATAACGCATTGAATGAAACAAACAGAAACAAAATATCGAGTTATAATTTCTCTTTTTCCATTCATTCATAAGTACAGGTTGCTTCTCAGACATTATCATAGTTTTCATAGTTAAGTTTTTCTGCATTTCTTGACGTTTGAATGTCAATAAATTTTAAAAAATGTAAATATCTTTTGGGTAATCTTTTGAAAGATCGCAATATTTTCTTAACAGTCAGAAAAGTACAGAATTGTCACGAGTAATATTGTGAAAGCTGGTCAAAGTATAGTGTAGATACGTAGGAATGCAGCAAAGTGATGATTGAAGACTACAGACTATATTGTGGTGTAGCGAATAAACAGATTAACCGATGCTTTAAACGTTCAAAAGGTTAGTATAAGTTATCGAATGAATATACAATTGATTAGAACACATAAATAATTATATTTTTCATTTACTTTCAGATAAATCTAATGTAAAAATTAAGTTATGAGAATACACTAATGCTGATTATCACAAAATTCATTATAATTTGTAATTTGAACTTAAAATTCATTCCTGCCAACTTCGAATACAGCTCGATCTGCAAGCGTTTTGTCACATGCTCTATAATCAGTCTAGAACCTGTAGTTTCAAACATAACCGTTATCAATTATGCCTCTACGATCGTACGAGTATTTAGAGTTACTCGCGCGTTATACACTTCTTCTTTTTTTAACTCTTTCCACCCCGTGGGCACTAAGAGGGCCTCTTTTTGCAAGCCCATTATGGGTTCGGCCAAACCCACTATGGGGCTGCCGAGTGGTGAGAGACGGGGTCAGTCAAATCCGAACGGACCACCCCCCCGAAAAATTACTGGGGTTTTTTCGACCCGTTCGGATCCGAGCCCGGGTCCCCCAGAGCGGTAGGCTGCCACCTTCTCCGCTCGGCCCTCCATCCGCTTATACATTTCTGCTGTATACAAACATTGTATGCAAATAATTTCGTAATATACAAAATAATCTACAACACTAAAGTCATCTGATAACAAAAACTTTTAATACGTAAGTAACTCAATATAAGTGTTAATGGCATTAATGACAGTTTTGTCATTTCCTTTATAATTGTACTACTACATAATTAAAAAAAATGTACACTTACCACACTGTGAAGTCGTTTTACTCTGTTCGATAACAAATTTCCGAAAAAAATGAATAGAAAAACAATTTATATAAACTTTCTTACGTTATCAATTAGAATTTATCTGTTAGAGAGAAAGTTATAAACATATTACTTATCTGGTGTACGGTAGACTAATGTAAATTCAAGTGTTTGTCCTTCACTTTTGAACGAATCGTCGTTCGATTTACATATTTACTTTCGTATAAATTTTGATTTATTTTCCGGTTTTGTATTTAATTTGTCATAAGAAACTAATTGACATTAATTAATTATAAACAATTTAAATATTTACTTCTAATATACCTACCTAAACGATTCACTTACTTCATGCCAGTGTATAAATTACTGGTCAAAGTAATACATGAAAAAACCAGTATATTTCGACTTGATTATATAAAATGTTATTAATTTAAATGTTTTTAATAATTTGACTGTCATGGTTTTTTCTCCATAATTTTCTGAAAATATTGTAACGAATTTCTCAAGTACAATAAATCAGAGACATCCTGTCAATGTTACGTCAACCTGCAAGAAATATCACAACATTCTTTGCTATTCTATTAAAAACTAGTATATGTCATAAACATAGAACAATACCATTTACACTTTTACAGTACGACTTTCTGAAATACTAAAAATTACTGCCAGATTTGTAGTGTAAACGGAGATGGCACTGGAGGTGTTACACTGATGCCACGAATAAAAAAAGTACAAAAAGCAGTAAAATTTGAAAATTAACAGAATAAAAATATAATAGCATGTTATAACTTTTTACAACTTTTGCGTGATGCAGACTACTGTTATACGTTCAAATTACAAGCACTCGAAACACTTTATAGCGTTGATATGCCTGTTTTTATTACTTTTATATGTGTTTCTCTTACTCGAAATCCAAATTAATACGGGACATTCCAATTCTCAACGCTGATTCAGCGCTGATCTCAACACACTCAGCACTCAACAGATATGTTGACTGCTACTTTCCAATAAATTGTGGGTAATTGGTAAAACATTTAAGTGGAATCCATCTTGCTGAGAATGGAATTATTGGAACTAAGCACTTCGTACTCGAGTTGGAACGTCGTTGATGACGTCAAATTGTTGACTTCAACACTCAATACTGGCGTTGAAAATTGGAATGTCCCGTAAGTAAATATACAAATAGTAGTTGACTAGTTGACAATTTTTAGTTCAACTAAAAATTGAATAAATTTACAATGAATATTGCTTTGTGTTGTGCGTTTGAAGTATACAATGTTCAAAAACGATAAAAATAATCACCGACACAGTTTAAAAAGTAAAATGAAAATTTGTATAAAATTAAATGACAAGTAAATGTTAAAATGACTCAGGTTTATCATTTGATAAATCTCAGAACATTCTTATTCCGATACATAGAGGACCGCGGTGATCATAGTCTATTGTGTGAAGTTCACCATTTCCTCCTCCTCCGCGAAAAAGTTGTTGGTATTGTATCTACCTATATATACAGTATATAGATACAATAACAATTCACGAATACATATAGCGGAAAGAGGTGCAAGATGGGGCTATTGGTTAAGACGGGGAAGTCTGTTTATTCGTGGTTAACGCGCTTTCATCTAGCTGTTATTTGGGGAACTAAATGTCAACCTCAAAAGGGATTACGGGACGAGAGAACGTCCGAATCGCTCTCTTTGTTTGGAAGTAAGACAGTTTTCCATGTTTCAGCAATACTTCATCTAATTTTACGCCCGATACAAAGTTTCTACATTGTGAACTTTTACATTATCTTTTAGATGAAGATAATGATATTCGAACTAATCTTTAAGAGTGTAGCAAGGTTGCGGCCGAAGTTTTCATCTGTAAAACGTGAACGTGGAACGTCGAGCGCCGCTATCTTGTAAGCGGCGCTCGACGTTCGACGTTCACGTTATACAGATGAAAACTTCGGCCGCAATCTCTCTTGTAATTGTTTAGTTTTGAAATAAAGTTGACCGGTGTTTTCAGTCAGTATGAAAAGTGCACGTTGGGGCAAGATGGGGTACCCCATCTTGTCCAAGTTCCTACTGTTACACGTGTTACTTAATTAAGAAACAATTTAGAAAATATTTAGATAATTAGGCTGCGTACACACTAGGCGTTTTTAAACGCGCGTTTTAAAGAACGAAGAGTTCTACTAAAGCGCCCGAAAAACGCGCGTTTTATGAAAAATGTATAAACGCGCGCTTGGCCAAAAGCGCGTGTTTGAGTGTGTACGCCTATGTAGAACTCTTGGTTCTTTAAAATGCGCGTTTAAAAACGCCTAGTGTGTACGCAGCCTTAAGAAAATTTGAGGCGCGCTGATTTTCGATATCGATGAGATCGCGTGTACAAACATTATTTAAAAATATCGTTTTATTTTATTTATGAAAACATTTTTTAAATTTAAATACAATCTTAACAAGAAATAAAATGTGAGACAACGATGGAAATAAAAATTTTTCTACGAAAAAAATATCGTCTGCTCACAAAAAAATTCCACGGAAAAAATATCGTCTGCTTATAAAATAGCGAAACTGAGCATGCGCAAAGTGACGGCATCGTCTGGTAAAGTAAATACAGTACGAGTAAGTTGAAACTTTTATATTTATTTATTCATTTTTTCTCTGAGCTTCGATATGTTTTATGATTAATATTCATTGCAATTTTGTTTCGAAATATTTATCGTTAATGTTCCATTAATAAATAGGTCTTCTAGTTAATATATTGTAGGCTACTTGACGTCTTTTAATTGTTTTAGAAAAATGGTTCGCAACTAAGTGAGGAAATCTAATAGACATGGCTGGTCAAATGCTGTGGAAAGTGTTTTGGAGGGTAAAATGGGCTGCTATTTTTAATGTGCCTCAGAGTACACTAGAAAGAAAAGTTAACATATAGAGGCAAAAGGGCAAGTCTGGAGAAACATCACACGTCCTCTAAAGGGAAACTTGGCTCGTTTTAACCCGGTTTTCACTCCTGAAGAGGAGGCAGAGCTGGTGGAATATTTGAAGTCTTGATTGTTTGGTCCTTCCTTATGTTTTTTTGAAGAAAGCATGTTAAATTTCAAATATGCTTTAATATATATTAATATTTAGGTAATATTTATTTATTTAAATATTAGATATTAAAATAAGTTGTAATACAATATTATAATACAGATTTTGAAATCTTTTCTAGCACCTGGAGCAGATGATCCAATGATGAGGCAAGATTTTGCAAAGGAACTTGGTTCAGCCATGGTTAGCATGTCTGGTTCATTTGATTCAGAACTGTTCACTCCTGATGATGCTCTTCGTGCAGGTCTCGACCCCATTGATTTTGATGGACTACAGATTCTCACAGATCCTGACATACCAGTCATTAGTGATCCTGCAACAGAGGAAACTTTTCGTTTAGATCGATCATAGTTGATATGATCCCCTTGATAAATAAGGGGCAAAACTTTAGTGAACTGTTTCATATTACATATAGTCATCATATTGTGGATGGTTATAAAAGTATTTGGGTGCTGTATGTTGCTTATTGATATCATCATGACTTCTTTTCCATTCTTTAAAAGTATTTTTTGTGGTGGTTTTCAATTTACCAAAACCATTGTGAAAAGACAAGAACTCTGCAATAAAAGCAAAGAGTCATTTTACATTTATTAAAAACTAGTGAGTGTTTCTGTTCACTTGTATATGTGTGGAACCTCTCGAAACAAGCTCAGAATTATTTCTCTTAAGACTACCTAAGGACTTGGTTTAGGAGTACATTATGTGGAATATATATATATAGACTCCCAAATTTCTTGATTGTGTACATATCTATATCAGCCATAAATTCTATAGCTTGCTCTGAATATCAGAACATGAAGATGTGTTGCAGTATTAAGAATTCAAGAAAGAAAAAAAAAGAATGAAGCTCTTATCTGTACAAATAACATGACCAAAGCAGGAGCTTCAGGTTTCATAAATAATAAATTCATTCTGTAAATTACTTGCATATGCCATCTTATCTCAAGTTGATTTATCAATTGCATATGCATATTATAAAATGGAATATTCAAACTCATTGGAAACTGGTCTTTAGGGTCCAAAACACTATTTTAAAAAAATTAATTGTAAAAATTTTTTGTCATAAAAATTGTTAATTGCTACAAAAACATTTTACACATTTATGAAATTTGCTTATTATTAATAATTTAAACCTAACATTATATTAAAAATATAAAATTTATAAGGAATGGAAATCATAAAATGCCATTATTGTAATATTATTTATTTTCTTGTACATTTGTAAGAATATTACATAATCACAAATAATTGTATAAAGTATATTTAAAAATTTAGCATCGGTCAGTTTGTTTTGGACCATAAAGGCTTTCGACTGGAATGAACTATCATTGTTAATGTAGTTCTACATTTTATTAATCTTTTATTATAATGTTCAGTCAAATTCCAAATCTCTACATGCATAAGATAAGCTTGTCTTTAATGGACATTCAGTCCATTTTAAACTTAAAAAAGCTTATGTGATGTGTACAGCCATTTGAAAATACATTTTTATTCATGTCATTTACTGTGCATCTCTCATAGTTGTATATCTCTTGTTCTTTACAGTTTAGATAATTAATCAACTTCTTTGGTGATATTAATTCTCCCATGTTAACTGTGGCACAGAACCAATTTAAGATCAAAACAGTTTGGTTTTGGCTAATTTGGCTCTGCACTATGTCTTTATAAATAAATATAAATTGATGTGGAAGATTTTAATACTTTTCTCAATTCCTCTCATTTTATTACAAATTCACTGTTTCTTGTTAATAAAAAAAAAATGTGAAACAAAATGTAAAATAAAAATACTTGAAATTTGTTCATTTATAAAATTTAAAGCAATGTTATTCATGGATATAGTGCAGAGTAATAATTGTTAATTCCATAAAATTTGTATACTATTTAGTGCAATTAGAAAAAACCATTGTTGTAAACTTTCCCCTTCACATCATTAAAAAATATGTGCAATAAAACTAATTTGATTAAAAGCATGAGATATACAGAATGAAAGAGATATACCATATTAAATTTTATTTTAGAGTATAATTTGTTTTTATTTCACAAAGTAGATACCTCATTGCTCATAAAAAGTATATATATATATATATATATAATCAGTTGTTTTTATATATTGTATCTGAGTTGTAGATTTTAGAGGCCTGTTGAACAAATGAATTTAAATACATTTATTGAAACTTGTAAAATAAGAAAAAACTGTTGAAAAATTGAATCAAGTTATGAAATAAAAGCAAAATATTTTTATTTTATATCTTGATTAAATATCTATTTCCATGCAAACAGATTTTTAGATCATATAAAACTTTTTATGAAATCTGTCAAAAAAAATTTATTGAAAAAGTTTTACTATAATTCTGATTGCATGTAAATATTGTATATTTATTCAAAATAAAACTTCTTAAGAATTAACTTTAGCAAGTTTTTTTTTTCATTAAGTAATATAAGTTTTTAGTATGATATGACTTTGGAAAGCATTTTATTGTTTTATATTGCTTAGAAAATTAAATCATTCATATTTAATTTGCAAACAGAATTAACTTTTTATTTAAATGAGTCAGTGTTTCGCCAAATTGTTTGCCAAACATCCATGTACAAATTATGTGTGATCATTAAGTAAGTTATTGATTTAACTTTTTTCTAATGCAGATGCATGCATTTAATTTATTGGAATATCAAAAATTCAATAGAAAAACTTTTGTGAGCTGTTTTGATGTTCAAGATTCATAGCTGTACTGTGTTATTTGACAACACAGGATTTCAGCTATAGTTTTATAAAATTAAATTGAACTTAAATAGCTAGTTAATTTTAGTGTTGTTTCTATCTATGCATATTATATACAATTTTTATAATAAAAAAATTAATAAATAATTGAGAAATGTTACGATGATTAGAAATCTGTACATTTAACAATGTTAACTCTTGTTCCATATTGAATAGTTGATAAATAATGCAGAACAGGAAAATTAAATCATTGACTTACTGTAAATATTGGTAAATGTATAGTTATTATATATCATAATGTACATTTTACACGGTATCCTTATTAAATGTAATTTCAAGATATTTATAGGTGTTAATAATCAAAGAAGATTGTGATGATAAACTGCTTTTAAAGCAGTTGGTCATCATAGTTGTAAAGAAGAGACTTTGTGTAAATGGATGTTTGGAATAATGAAGGCAAATTTTATACAACTTTGGGCATTTTAAGACTATATATTTCCACTTAAGATTTTCTTCCTTGTACATAAATCTGTCATAATAAATGTTTTTAAATTCCACTAAATTTATACTTCCAGTGTTGTTATACGATTGTTAAAAATTAACAAAATATCATTGTTTGAAATTTTTTCTTATTATAAATATGATGTAATTAAAAAATAACCTAATACAGTTCTAAATTTCACTTTAATTTGGAAGTGATGTGTAGGGGAAAATTTTAATGCTTCTGATGTAAGGATTGTGTATGTATGTTATTTAAAGTAACTTGTTGGCTTGTTTTTTGGAATGTTGTCTACTTTGTGAAGTCTATAATAAAATTTATTCATTCAGTAATGGGTCTTATGTATATTCTTATATATCCCAATGAGATTTTATCAATAACATACTTATTTTACAATAAACGAAAATTATAAATGTATATATTTATAATAAATCTATAAACTATAATTAAAATTTGAAATAAATTATTCAAAAAACTTTACTTTTTTGGGCTGCAATTTGAAAAAATTGTAGACCTATAACCATTTCAATGTCATCTGACCATCTGTCTTTCCTTAATCTTAAGAACAAAGTTATATAGATGAAAGACAAGACCAGATATGGAAATCTTAGGAGCACGAGGCCTCAATTAACTAATATGAACTTCCGATGCAAACCAGAAGTCATGTTATTTCATTTTAAAAATTTCTCCCTGAAATGTGTTCAATAGGTGACTGGCACAACTTTATTGTTAAAGGAAAAGTATGATGTACAGAAGCAAGCCATTACTAATTTGAGGTGGAGAGCTGCTAATTTTAAATTAAAAATATGATTAAAAATTTGCACCATTTTATATAAATTAAAAATAATTTATCATAAAATATTTTTAATATTGTAGTTAAATTAAATTTAATTAAATCCTGAGTGTGCCACTGGTTACATAGAGGTTATGTAATTCTCAATCTTGTGTCTAGGGATCTCAAAAGGTCTTAAGTGATAAGTGAAGACATAGTCAAAGTGCTTTTGACTATGTTCTTACTTATCACTTATGTGTACCCTATGGAAAATTACTGCAGAAGTCCAATTTCCAAAAGCTGGGAGACATCATCCAGATTCTTCCTTTTTGAGTATTGGTGAACAAACCTATCCAAGCAAAGGTCTGCACTTTCACAAATGAAGTGCAGAAAATTCCTCAGTAGAGCTGCAAGGGCAACAAAAAGCTGAGGAAGAATGTTTAAGATGGCACAATTGTTTATGAAAGTGAACAAACAATGCCAACCAAAAAGCAAACATGATTCTTGCTATAAGTTAGAAAGTCAATAATTTACACAGAGCAAGCAAGACAAAAATGTTTTAGTCTGCTTAGTAGTTCCAGTCATTTAAAAGCAGCAGAGTTGTACTCTACTGCTTTCAAATGACTGGAAAAGGAATAGGAACTAACTTACTTGGCCAGTAGACTGATCCTTACATTGCCAACTATTTCCTCATACCCTGTACCCACAATAAAAAATATACAGACAGCCGGTTCGTGGAAACACAAATAGCATTTTCAAACAAGTGCTGAAGTGAACTGACAAAAGTCAGTGCCTTCAAAGCAGCCATAACTTTAAAAGACAATGTAGATAGCCTTATTAACGAATATCTACATTAAAAAATGCAAATACACCAAATAATAGCCAATAACTTAGCTTGAAATACAGTAGAAAACTTACCCAATTGGACAAAGAAACCCCTTCTTGAAAGTCCCTCACAAATACCAGATTATGTACCACTAGTGCAAACAGAAACTTAAAAAAACACTGGCAAAAATTTTTCCCCATTTGATTATAAAATTCATAGTAATAAAAATTACTTTCATGTAATGCTTCTTAATCTATCCTTTAATTCCAGCTACAGCCGAAAATAGTGTTTTAGTTAAAGAACTACAATAAAGTTTCCGAAAATGTGAGCAAAGTAAAGAGATAGAAGATAGATAATTATAGACTATTAATTAAGTTATCAACAACTGTGAGACGGATAATAGTGAGGGTTTATCAGACTAACGACGGGCACAAACGATCAGGGATCAAAGTGAAAAAAATTTAATAAACAAAAAAAATTACTATATTTATAGAAACGAAAACCCAAAATGCATTTCGGACTATTTTCCCGATAGAAAATATCCCTCATCAGTTGGTATTAATTAACTAAACGTAATGCTATATTAAAAATTATACAAGGTAACGTCAGCTTAAAACTGTGCCTAAAGCTATACAATAGAAAGATGAAAACACCACTGTAACAGTATTGTAGTAAGCATCATTAGTAGGTATTACCTAAAGGGTATGGTATATTTAAACTTTTACAAGGTAGAGGTACTTGTGCATCATATGTGGACTGTTACACACCTCCCTTACTACCGCTCCCAGCACCTTGTAAGCTGGCACCTGCGACTCTGTCGTCTTACTGTTTTTGCACTCTGTACGTCACACCATCATGCAAAGTTATGAAGATTTATTACACCTGTCTACACTAATAATGCTTACTCCTCATAGTTATAACGGCGTTTACATCTTTATATTGTGTAGCTTTAGGCATAGTTTTAAGTTTACCTTTACCTTGTGTAACGCACACTAAGAAGGGATTTTTCGAAATCCCCCGGGGGGGAGAGGCAGGATTAAGGCTTCTATATACATTATGGATACGAGCCCAAATGGTTAGGAGTTGAAAGTTGAAATTTGGTACACAGTTAGGGTACGTTAAGAGAACGCACACTAAGAAGGGAATTTTCGAAATTCCTCCCCACGGAGGAGAAAGACAGGATTAAGGCTTAACACTTCCATCAACAATGGAAGTGTTAAGTAACAATAGAAGTTTTAAGTAACAATGGAAGTGTTATGTAACAATGGAATTGTTAAGAGAAAGCGACGTGCAAGACGCAGATGCAGTTTTTTTTTTCGTTTTTGCGGGAAATCGAACATATTTTTAGAACCATCTAAAAATTCTCTAATTAGTCTGGAAACAAGGGGACCCAATTCTTGAATTCTGTGACTGTAACGTATTAATCTTAATCTTAGTTATCGTTACTTTTGCCCGAGCAACGCCGGGCCTACCTGCTAGTTAATGTATACGTGCAACAATTTTAAGGCACAAAGTACAGCTTAGAGTCTTTTCCTGTGCCGATGTTTGTTTCCTATTTATTATCGTAGTGACATTACTTCATTCAAAAATTCCTGTAGTTGTCTATGTAATGTGCACTTTATTCACATATTGATTCTTACTGTCAAATCTGCTTCCAGTGTGCTTATGCCACAACTTTCAAAGGTTTTCTTTACTCGGATGTTTTTACTGAGCTTAACAACTGGTTTCACCAGTTATTTTACGGGATCACATAAAAGCAATTCTCGCATTTTTACAAGATTTTTTATTTAAACAAGTATTGTATGAAATCTTTCGGACGTTAAGGTTAGCAACTTCGAACACAGCCTATTCAACACGAATCTCTTTTCGAATATTAATTAATTATTAAGTATTAAGTAAGACCAGTATTAAGTAATAGTCATTGACCATCCTCTCTCCCAAGAGGAGGACAACTACTATTTTTGGACGAATTAACTTCAATCTCCATCTGCAATAGTCCCTTCTTCCTATAGGACCGACCGGTATGGTAGCATTCGAATAGTAAAATTACATAATACGATGTTACCAGCGAGCAGAATATATGATTTAAATGGTTTTTGAGGGTGCCGAGTGTAAATATTTAGTCCATTTTTTGCGAAATTTAATTCGTTGGCAGATCAACATTTGATATTCGGCTGTGAATGAAACAGTTTGTTAGTGCTAACATCAGAAAAAAATACGATATCTTAAATTTTTTTAAAACTCCATTATTTATTTTTTAAATTTTATAATAGTTTGTAAATTCATAGTAATGTAAAATCATGTATAAAAAATATTTGATAAATCAACATTGTATAAAATTGAAGTGTGTAATACCGATAAAATATATGAAACAAGATATTTTTTATTTTTTAAAGAGAAATAATTTTTTATTTAGGGGAAAGTGGTTCAAGATGGGGCCATGGGGTAAGACGGGGACGTCTGTTTATTCGTGGTTAACGCGCTTTCATCTAGCTGTTATTTGGGGAACTAAATGTCAACCTCAAAAGGGATTACGGGACGAGAGAACGTCCGAATCGCTCTCTTTGTTTGGAAGTAAGACAGTTTTCCATGTTTCAGCAATACTTCATCTAATTTTACGCCCGATACAAAGTTTCTACATTGTGAACTTTTACATTATCTTTTAGATGAAGATAATGATATTCGAACTAATCTTTAAGAGTGTAGCAAGGTTGCGGCCGAAGTTTTCATCTGTAAAACGTGAACGTGGAACGTCGAGCGCCGCTATCTTGTAAGCGGCGCTCGACGTTCGACGTTCACGTTATACAGATGAAAACTTCGGCCGCAATCTCTCTTGTAATTGTTTAGTTTTGAAATAAAGTTGACCGGTGTTTTCAGTCAGTATGAAAAGTGCACGTTGGGGCAAGATGGGGTACCCCATCTTGTCCAAGTTCCTACTGTTACACGTGTTACTTAATTAAGAAACAATTTAGAAAATATTTAGATAATTAGGCTGCGTACACACTAGGCGTTTTTAAACGCGCGTTTTAAAGAACGAAGAGTTCTACTAAAGCGCCCGAAAAACGCGCGTTTTATGAAAAATGTATAAACGCGCGCTTGGCCAAAAGCGCGTGTTTGAGTGTGTACGCCTATGTAGAACTCTTGGTTCTTTAAAATGCGCGTTTAAAAACGCCTAGTGTGTACGCAGCCTTAAGAAAATTTGAGGCGCGCTGATTTTCGATATCGATGAGATCGCGTGTACAAACATTATTTAAAAATATCGTTTTATTTTATTTATGAAAACATTTTTTAAATTTAAATACAATCTTAACAAGAAATAAAATGTGAGACAACGATGGAAATAAAAATTTTTCTACGAAAAAAATATCGTCTGCTCACAAAAAAATTCCACGGAAAAAATATCGTCTGCTTATAAAATAGCGAAACTGAGCATGCGCAAAGTGACGGCATCGTCTGGTAAAGTAAATACAGTACGAGTAAGTTGAAACTTTTATATTTATTTATTCATTTTTTCTCTGAGCTTCGATATGTTTTATGATTAATATTCATTGCAATTTTGTTTCGAAATATTTATCGTTAATGTTCCATTAATAAATAGGTCTTCTAGTTAATATATTGTAGGCTACTTGACGTCTTTTAATTGTTTTAGAAAAATGGTTCGCAACTAAGTGAGGAAATCTAATAGACATGGCTGGTCAAATGCTGTGGAAAGTGTTTTGGAGGGTAAAATGGGC